GGACAAGGAAGATTTTAATGAAGGCATTTACGCCTGGTAATGACTGTCCCCTACCTCCCTCTTCAACTTCATCAACAGCCAGATAATTGAGAGAGAAAGAGAGAGAGAAAATGTAAAGAGCAGTGAACTTCACCTTTCTTTCAGACAGTGTCATATTTTGAACCATATGCAATGCATACAAAGTTAAGCATAATGAAAAAAAGACAGAAATGATATTTTTGACAAGAAAATAGTGCTTGATGGTCACTGGAGAACTGTTGCATATTAAACCACCACTTTCTTCATCTATTCAGCCTCATATACTAAGACTTAATGATGGCCTATTCCACAGCCTAGAGGATATTGCTTGGATGGACATGAATGCCCCTGGTCAAATTACATGCTTTGATGAGTTTCTAAGGGAAAATAAGTCAACAAATCCTCTACAGGGAACTGAAATATGACATTTGTCTGCAATTTTTCATGCAAAATTCTATTTATTTTATTTGAGTTTAACATACTGGAAAAAAAAAAAACTTAAACTATGAAATTTGCCATAACTTTTGCATAGGTTTTATTTTTTCCAGTAAGAAATAAATAAAACAATATTAAATATGTACTGATTATTTTTGAGAAATGTTTAATAAATAATCACAAATGAAGAAGAATGCAAATATTTTAAAAAGATGGTTAATTAAAAATTGAAATGGAGCAATAAATATTAGAATGAGCTCAACTGAAAATCATTTAAAAACATAATCTGATTAATTCCACTCTGCATGGTCCCCAGCCTTGCTAAAAAAGTCAAATATGAAAATGCATCAATAAAAATCTCTACATTTGTGGTGGAATTTGATTATAACAATACACTGTCTTATTGGAAAAAAGAAAACTACTTTCAGGTATGGTATATTAAAGTAGACATGTACTGATATTCAAAGTGTGTGTGTGTATATATATATATATATATGTGTGTGTGTGTGTAGGTAGGTAGAACCAGATAGTGGCATTGCATTACACCTTTAGTAGAATCCATATAAATAAAGAAAAGACCTTTTCTTTTGACTTGCTGCCTTTGTTTATCTGTATATGTGTTTGGGAAAAAGATAGAGAGCCAGATAGAGAGATCAAAAAAGAAGCTCGCAATTTGTCCATCACGTTCAACACAAGTTCAATCCTCTTCTCTCCCTCTCAGCTGCAGCAAATGTTTAGAGGATCCCCCAGTGAGACGCCAGCTCATTCGTCTTGATAACGATGAAGAGGCATTTTTCCGGCAGCTCCTGGGCTGAGGAGCTGCCTAATGGCAGCATTCTGCTGGACTGAAAAGCGCCAGCCTAACCCACCTACAAAACCACACTGCAGGGTGCAGCCCATCAGGGAAACATCACTTCACTTACACTTCACTTCAGCAACTGCTCTTTTGAAGGGGAAAGCACTTTCTGTATAAGCTCTCTCACATTGCTGAGCGATCCTCCAATTTATTTGCACTTAAACAGAAGCATCACCCTACAGTGCTAATGCCGATAATAATAAACCAAGCTAGTTCGCAAACATAAGTGAGGTATGCTAACAGGAAGCTTTTAGCTTTAATTTACTTCTAGCCACATTGTCCTTCAAAATCCTTTAAAAGAAATGCTAAAGTGCTCTGTTTTTATGCTCTCCGACATTATATTTTATAGAATTTTATATGGAGCCAGAATGTAACTTCTCACTCAGACGCTAATGGTGTTGATAATAAAGAAAAGCTAATTGGGAAATGCAAGTGAGATTATGCTAACTAGCCTAGGTTTCATTAACTATTAGTTACATTAGCTACAATTGCTACTGATTTTAAGTCATTTTACTGCTGATGAATAGGAAAAATGGAATTAGCATGCTAACATAAGCTGCACATATTGTGTTATTACAATGAGAAACTGTTGCTAAAGGTCTGTAAGGCCATCTTTCCAAGATAGCAAGCATATATTGGTTTGCTTGATTGGCTTGATACAGCCAGCACCCTAGATCAAAATCCTTTACTGAACTAATTTACGAAGTATAACTAAATAAAGGAAGGATGCAAAAATAAGTAAATTGGACCGTGAATGGAAAACGAGGATGATAAGTGGAATTTTGTCTACTTCATTTTGTCTAATGCTTAATCACCAGTGGGCCACTGATGGCAAAGCTGGCAGTCCACCGGCATTTCCAGGGTGGCCCAGGGTGGCCAAGACTGTCCTCTTGCTATCAGAGAAGCATTATTTGAGCTGTAAAGTATTACCAGAGGAGGTCATTTGTAAGGGAATCGACTGGGCGATTCATATGGGATAAAGTATCTGTGTAACTTCCCCAAATTACATCAGATAGCCCAGACTGAATTGAAACATCATAGCCTGGACATTAACTTCGGCCTTAAGATTATGATCCAATTGATGATTAGGCTAGTAAAGCTTATTCATTTAAGTTCATTTAACCTAACAGATGTCAAAAGAACAGAAATCACTCTGGCCTGTGAGACATGACTTCAGATATTTAATTCTTTCTTCTCCTTTGTATTTATCCCATCACCAAAATGTTTGAGATTACAGTAGTCCTGTTTTGAACTTTGCCAAACTCCCCCATCTGCCCGGGGCCAAAAAACAGTTGTCGATGTCTATTACCGAGAGCTTTTTTATTACATTACCATAGGGTCAATTCCAACAGTACTACTATTACAGAAGGAGCTCCAAGTTCGATGAATTATCAAAGGTACTCCACTCTGGAATTACTGCTTAGAGTACTAATCCAGCTTGAACACAACTTTTGCCGGCTCTTCTTTTCTTTGCCAGATGTAATTGCAGATGGGGTTTATGGGCAACCCAAGCAACTATTGCTCATTTGAGGGAATCTATTAAATTGCCACAGAATGGAATACTTGTGTCTCTTGTACTGGCAAGGCCTCTGATTTATCACACAACAGTTAAATATTGAAAATAAAAAATATTGTATACTATATATCCAGAAGTATCCAGACTCCTAATTAGTGAATTTCAGTGCTGACACACAGCTTGTATAGTCTTTCTTAGAAAAGCACTGCAATAGAATGGCAATGCCCTGGAGTGGTCACACATGAACCTAAGCTCATCAGAATAACCTTATAATGGTACATCCCTATTCATTTGCATTAAGATCATTAGGTTGCTAACAGTTACAACAAACAGAACTAAGACATAACGCATGGAACATCTTTGCCAATTATTCCCTTTATTAGCTGTTTTGTAATTACACGTTTGATGTAGGGGCAACCCAAGCAACCAGAAATTACTTCAGAGAAATAATTGGAGACTGGAATACAGTATAACTAGCAATGGCAGGACATGACATAATCACAGCCTCTCAGTTGTTGAACATGTTATTATAGGATAATGAGATTTCAACCAAAATGATCTTATAAGCTTTTTCTTTGTCTTGTTGCATATTGAGCCAATTCACTGTTTAATGTGGCAACCAGAAATCTTTGACCATATGCTAGTGGCTCTCAATCCCAGGCACATTTTTCCATTTTCTTTGCTCTAACCCTCCAGACTGAGATTAGTAATTTAATATGAGCTAAATTTGAAGTGTGTTAGATTAAGGAAAATAGAAAAACACATAGGGCATTGGATCTGAATGGATTGTCATTTGGCTTACTTTCAGGCACTGAACAATACTCTAGATATAGAATATATAGGCCAATACTTGTACCAGCAGATAGTTCAATTAAAGGTGGCACAACATCCCTTTTCATTTCCAATACTGATACCATGGTGATATCTTGGGACCAGTCGACACCAATCTGTTAATAACTTAGTGCAAATTGTACTCAAGATCAGATTGTTTACAATAAAGAGATTCTAGTATAATATTTAGCTAGATGCCTGTTATTTTTATGTTAACCCTGGGTCCCTATGTGTCAAGCACAAGGCCCGTGGGCCAGATCAGGCCCACAATACAATCCTCCCTGGCCCACAGAAGTATTTAAATTTTTTATTAATATTAGCCCGTTTCACAACGGTCCCCATCATGCACTGCAACGTTATGTGCACTTTGACTCTCCCACCCCAACAACAAGCTATGAGACAGTGGTTACATCTCAATTCTACACAATTCTATACCAGTCATATCACCAAACACTCTAGTTGCATTTCAGCTGCAGTTCAATCAGAATAAACATTTAACGTCAGTTCAGCAGCTCAGAAATTGAGCCCAAGCTTTAATGAACTTGCAGCAAAGAAAGGAAGTCAGGTGTCTAGTTGAAGCAGATATGTAGGTTTAAAAGACTGAGCTCCTGGGGACATTTAAATTTTGAATATTTCAGGTATTCATGTAACATTTCTTAATAAAGGTAATAAGGTCTACTAATAAGTTATAGCAGGCAACAAGCATTCTGTAATATTTAAATCTTGATCTGTTACAGACTCAGACTGTGTTTGATGTTTTTTTTTCCTGTCCAATCCAACATTTTCTGCCGGTGTCACTCCAGTACCAACACAGGGCACTGGACTGGTTCCAACTCTGATTAAAAAGATAATGAAATTACTCTTAACTAATAAACAAGTTCAGCAGAATAAAATGTAGGTACTCTGGCGTTTGCAACTGTTTATCCCTGTTGGGACAAAATCGTTTATCTCTATTTTTTGTAGTTTTTTTTTTATGTTGTAACATACTTTGCTTCCCCTTTATATTATGTGAAATGTTCATGGTGAAGAGACCAATAGAACTAGACTAAACTTCTTAAACTAAATTCTTAGACTAAAAGTCTTGTTACATTAACCTCCATTCAGCTACTCCTGTACAGTTACTATTTTACAGATATGAGGTTTGTGCCAGCCAGCGAGAGTATGCTTCAGCTACAATAGAACTGCAGTAGTCCTTCTCAAAAGGGGGTGCCTGTTACTGTGACCCCTTCACCTCTTTAATTATCTCCATACCTCCATCTCTCCTTTTATCCTTATCTTGGACCTCCCCTTTCAGCCTACTCCCCCCTATTACCCGCCTCTCCCTTAGTCTGGCCTGGCCCTTGTGTGTGTGTATTTGTCTCAGACCACTGCTTAGAGGGAAACACATGTTAGTAGTCTGCAGGAAAAGCAGGGATGAGGAGGAAGCGCTCCATATGAAGACACAAAGAAGCATTTAGGACATTATGCACTTTTTTCCCATTCTTTTTGCAAACGTGTGAGTGAGTTTAGTTTGTGAAGTGCATGGAACTGCTTATTTCTGTCTGATGCATGTCACTGCAAAAGAATCTTAGTGCTCTTCTCATCGAATGTAGCACTGTAGCTGAATTGTGAAGCTAGCGTGTGCATGGATGTAAATGTGTCTCTATACTGACGAGTATGCTGTATGTAGTCTGTCATTTATTTCCATAAATTTAAGTTAGAACTTCTGTATGGACGCACCTTTCATTGACTTTTCTCTGTTATTTTTAAATTAGCTTAGCCACTTTTCTGAAAAAAACATGCATTCTACTCCACTTTCCATACCCATCTCCCTCCTTTTCCTTCTCTTTCTCTCAAATTCCTGCGTTCTTGCGGGAATGGACTCCTGTTACGACGAAGAAGGAACACCCAAGCCGCTGCATGCCCAAATTTGAGAACGCAGCTTTCAATCGTACTGTAATAGTTTCAAATGTGTGCGGCACACCACCTGAGGACTACTGCATGCAAACTGGTTCCACACGTTTATGTCACCATTGCGATGCTTCGGACCCTGGAAGGAACCACAACGCCACCTATCTGACGGACTTCCACACCGACGAGGAACCAACCTGGTGGCAAAGCCAGTCCATGTTCTACAGAGTACAGTATCCTAACTCTGTCAACATCACGCTACACTTAGGTAAGAGATTCTATCTTTAAAGGAAAAAATATACACTGTTTTCCATTTACCCCAAATATTGTCCAACAGTCAAGACACGTTAAGTGTCCAAAGTTTGCTTCTGTAGTTTCACATTGGGGTTATAAGGCTAATGTAGCTGATAAGTAATGGACTCTCATAGCCACCTGATTAGCATTATGCAAAGTGCATGCCTAAATTATCACCCACTCATCTAATTTGCCAAAATGCCAATACGTTTTTAAGTTATTGTTATGTATGTAGTTTCTGCTACTGTATGGGATATTGAGGTCTATAAAAGACTAGAGGAACATTTTATTGCTCTTTGAGGTCTCGGGAGAGTTAATGGTCATTCTCCTAAGATTCCTTAAGAGAAATAGCATTAGACAAAGGGGAGATTTGAGACACAGAAGAAATAAAGGACCGATAAAAGTTTGGTTGCAGAAAAAGATGAATGAGCCTCATTCACCAATATCTTCCTAAGGTTTTTCATAAATTTGTTCTTACGAAAAGTGCTAAGAAAAAGTTTACGTCAGGTTCATGACATGTTCTTAAACCACAGAACTGTTCACACTTTTGTGCTCTTGAGTGTGTGTAGATTCAGTTCTTACCTAAGAACAAATCCCAAATAAGAAAACACTGGTGCATATCAGAATCTCTGTGAAAACTACTAAGTGGGTTTGAAGAAAACATTTCTTCTTAAGAACGGTTGGTGAATAAGGCCCATTCTAAGTATCTCGGCAAATCTGAGCACAATGTGTGACTGTTTTGAGTTCTGTGTTTAAACTCAAGAGAAGACATGTGTGAGAGTACCGAGATCTTTTCCTGAGGAGAAATAGCCAAGCAGCAGGAGACTTAGGCAAAAGTCACCTTTGTCTTTGCATTTCATCTCATAGTATGGTAGAAACTACAGATATTAAGGAGGAAACAGAAGTTGCAGCTATCTTTGAAGCTTGAATTTTGGTTTTCATTGACTTTTAAAGCAAAACTAACCTCCAAAATGCTAGTGTTACTTATAATAAATGCTAGGTAGTGGGCTCTGCTTAGCAGTATGCAGATCAGATCATGTTAACTGGTTGCTGATTGCTACTAGTTTTCAATGACTGTTAGCCACTCTGGCACTGCTAGGTGAAGTATTCCATTAGCATGAGCTGTTAAGACGAAAAGAAAAGAATTTAGACTTCACTAAGCAATAAGACATTAAGTCATACTATCTGGCTACTTTTAAAGACTAAACAGTCAGGGCTGTGGCTATAAGTTCCTGCTTAAAGGCTGTACTTTGCGCCGGATGACAAATAAGACTTACAATCTTTTTACACCTTCATGATGCTAATAAACCTTTTTCTCAGTCGCTGTGTTCTTATATCCAGCTGTAAATTGCAGCATTATCGAACTTCCGCCGCACCATTTAGCAGAGCGACAATGGAGGGTCGCCCTTTTTGCCTCCCTCAAAAATCTTCTTTTGGCCTCTGTGCAGTTCATAGGAGAGCAGCTGGCATGTCTGGTAGCTCCTCCAACATGGATGGAAAGGCTAGTTTGACTTGGCCGAAGCATGTCACGCAAAACTTAACAACATTTGAACTCTATATGACCCTGCATGTCTGCAGCTGTTGACTCTCTTTACCACTGTGCGGAACTCAGGGGCAAGCCCGGTAAATGGACTACGCTGCGGCAGACGTCTTGACATGCATCCCACGTTTAAAACCGCATCTCCGTGTCAAAGCAGGCGCATTAAGACGGCGGAACGTAGTCCGCAAAAAATCTGCGTCTGAACCTTGATTTGCCAGAGATGAGTTTTGCAAAACAGACAAGGAATGGAGCAGATCTTTATGTTCAACACCACTTCACACATTAAGCATTAACACTTTAAACAGATTTGTACTCATTGCGCTTCATATTGGAGGAAGAAAAAGTCCACCATGTTTAATTCTTCCTACTCAGCCCATGTTAACATTAGCAACATTAGCAAGTGCCCTGAACAGCACAACCAGCACAGAGACACAGCGTCATATTTTTACATTACTGTAAAATACTTACCAAGCTACAGTGGTGAGGAGTCTATTTCTCTGGGTTTTTACACAAAAAAAAGTATTTTCACCACAAATGTACATAAACCTGTCCTACTGTACAGCCCACATCGCTCTCCATTTCAGTTTTACCCTCCTTTTTTGGTCAGTTACCTAGTTAAAAGTGACATATGATGAGACTTTTCAGCTGAAGTTGAATATTTTTTCAAACTTGATCGACTGGAAACCCAGGTAAGGCTGTTTAGTTGAATTATTGGTGCATTTACGAACGCAACAATGACTTCGCGCAGTATCGGCCATTGTTTACAGTGTGAACAGAAGCTATTCAATGCTACTATTTACTCTTCCACATTAACAAGCACAAAAATGTGAGAATGGTCTATTAGTTCTTTCTTTTTACAACATGCTACATTTGCTTTTCATGCAAATGCTATATATGAATTAGAGAGAAACAGCCTAAACCCCAGCCATGAGGCCATATAGGGTTGGTTCCCAGATAGGAATTAAGTCAAGTCCTAGATTAGATTTTTCTTTTTTTCATTCAGAATGCTATGTAGTCCAAGACTAGGCTTAATCTCTGCCTGGAAAACCAACCCATTTTCTACTGATCACAGAGCTACAAGCTCATAAATTACTAATAAAATCATGCAGCTAACGCCAAAGATGTGCCTAAGGCCCAAATTTGAGCATCACCAATATAATCATACCTAAGATTGCATCAAGCATATCATCAAGATCATCGTAACTTTTGAAGATTGATGTGGACTGTTTAAATTTGACATCTATGATATTGAATGCTGGTATTCCAGTGACACCATGTCAAGTCCTTGGGAAGAGTTAGTGCCTTTGTTTCCATGTGTCACTGAGCCTTTAGCTGCTTTTGCAGTGATTTCCTTGTATTACTGAATTAAACATCACAGTGCACTCATTTGAGGCTTCAGATGTCCCGGAAAAATAAGAATAATAATAACTCATAAAACTAACAGGCTCTATCAACTTTATATTGCATTTCTCCAAAACTAGTTTTGAAGCAGGCCATGATTTCCTCTTGTTGGCTAAATACATAAGCTACTTTAGCTAATGCTAGCAGTCTGTTTATACTCCAGCTTCAAGAATCTTTGTTTGCATGATACATGCAAAGATACTTTACGTGATAAGGAGTGATTTGGTCTTTTCCCATCCTGCTCCCAACACCGGTCATTGTTTTTACTCGTTAGCGCAATCCTGTTCATGGGATCTGCTAACAGCAAGGTAAAGTTAATCTGCTAAGAGATGATGTGACATACAAGCACGCAGTATTTATTTTACCATTTAAGTGGCCTATTACCTGACATGCCATGTAAAATTTTCAATTAACATCATTTAGCACACTGCTGCTAATAGTATGACATTAGGTTGGCAAACACTTAGCCCAAGTTCCTCAACTCTTGCATGTCATGCTTGAACCTGCCTCTGTCAGACAGTTGGAACAGATGTGTCGTTACGTGAAAGTGTCTGGGGGGTCTTTTGCGTCCCTTAGATGGCTGAAGAGAGAGCCAGTTTACATTCTGTTGCCTCAGTTTGGAACAGCACAGATGTGACCCAATTTGAATGAGAGGAAAACTAGCTGACAACATTGTGTTCTCTGTCTTCCTTTTTTGGGATTGCTGGGCCAAGCTACAGCTTCCTGCTATCTTCCTGGAAATCTTTACAAGAGATGTACCGTAGCAAGTGCAAGTAGTTCCAGTGATACTGTCACTTTCAATCTACAGTTATTGTGAAGAAACATAAAATACATACAAAAGGAAGCTGACAATTCCGTGAAAAAGTGTTTTTTGAAAGCTTTAATAATTGCTCCACTGGACTGTGAGAGGTTGCACAAGGGTAGTAAATTTGTTAGCACTAAAGCTATCAGTGAGGTTGTGTTGTGGATGACAATACAATATGGGATAATGGGAACCAATAGTTTTATTGGGTCTGGGTTCAAATCAGCAAATATGTGCTTCATGGGACTTTTGCAGCCACGGACCCCTTGCTCTGTGGAAAAAATGCACAGATCCCACAATATCTGTCCAAAGTTTGTAACTGAATATCAGTCAAGAGTTCTTGATGTCTTCCCCTCACTGAATCCTAGTTAGTATGATAACAGAGTTATGGAGATAAAGTGAGACCAAATATGATAACGCTTTATTTGGATAGTCCACTTTAGATGCTTCATAGATACTTAATTTACTTTCATGTTACTTTGAACTAAATATCTACTACATTGACCATATTTTTTTCAACTCTAAACCTGGCTCTAATCCTAACCCTAACTTTAACCTCAACCCTCACCCTGGTCCTAGCCCTAAACCTGGTCTAGATCCTAACCCTAACCCCACCACTGTTTAAAATCAACTGAGTTTCAACAGATAGTTTGTTAACAATTTGAACATCTGTAGAAAATCTATAGGGGACTATAGTGGACTATCCAAATGAAGTGATACCATATATTTTATTTGGTTATATCAATGAAAAATATTAATTTCCATTGTCCTATAGGGTGCCTGAAGAAGGCTACTGCCCTAATATGTATTAGCTTTTCTCAGTTTGAACATATATGGTCTTAGATTTGAGGTGACAGACATCATTTTATTTTATACTTTTTAGAAATCATTTGACATCACACACCTTGAATAATATGGGGTCACTCCTGTGATGCAGGAACATTAAATTAATGTTACCTGCTGTTGAGCTAGCATACACAAGCATACACATCAATATGGGAGTTACTTTGAAGAGTGATTTTAATGTGGTTTATAGTCACTGGAAATCTGAATTGGATTTACATTTAAAGTAACATTAAAAAATCTTAAAAAGTATTACATAATGAGGATGCCTAGAGACCCTGTAAAATCTCAGAACCCCTTGGCGACACGTCACAGACCCCTCTTCGAGAACAAAGGCTTAAAGTGACTCAGCCTGTGAAGCTAATTTATAAATTATACTGTCTGGACT